ATCTTCTGATACATCCTACTGACAGACTGTATAAATTAAGTAGTATAAGTTATTAAACATTTTCAAAAAGTCTGGGAAATATATATATACACAAATTTTTTAAATTTTTTACAGAATAATCTTGAAGTGAAGCATCATAAATGTAATTATTATGTGCTTACATAAGGGTATAAGGCAAAAAAAGAAAGGTAACTCAAAGGTAAATTACTCTTCATCAGTCTTATCTGAATTCGATTCAGTTACGAACATTCAATGGATTGATCGATTGATTGATTTAGTTGTGACCATAATCATCATAATCATCACCTATCCCACTTAGAATATTCTGTAGTGATCATATGAGCAGGGTAATTATTGTGTTTTTGGGTTAAAAGTTTCCCAATACTCTCTTGTATGCATATTTCATTCATAGATATGCGCATTTATAAGATTGTGAAATCATAGAACATTGTCAAATTATAATATTATGTAAGCCATTGGATAGATTATTCAGAAATTGAACATAGATGTTATCATAATATTGTTAATACTTGTAGAGAAGTCAGTTAAAGTGGTCAATAATCTGATCATCTCTTCCTGATGAACAGTTAAGTGGCATTTTCTAACAACAATGACTTGTCGGCAAAAGGAGCTTTGCTCATCTTGATACCAGGCTGACATGACACAGTCGATAAGATAACTTGGGTCAGTATCCATTTGTAATAATATCGCCTAAAAACTAGAAAAAAAAGAAGAAAGAGCTATTTATTTGCCCCAAATAAAATTATTTTATTATTATTATTGTTACCTTGGGTTCCTAGTGAAACATAGGGCTTCAACTGCACGTCTCCACTGGCTTCTATCCTCTGCTGTACTTTTCACCTCCATCCATGTTAGTCCATACTGTTTCAACTCCTCTTCACACGGCCTCCTCCATGTCACCCTCGGACGTTCCACTTGCCGCTTCCCTTTCGGGTTCCACTCGAGCACTGGCCTGACTCACGATGTCACCCAGCAGCCTCCTCAGCGACTGTCCAATCCATCTCCGCTTTCTCCTGAATATTTCTTGAGTGATTGGTTCTTGTTTTGTTTCTTCCCATAATTCCTTGTTGGTGATTCTTTCCAGCCATCTGACCTTCAGTATAGAACGAAGACAGCTATTGATAAAGGTCTGCAACAAGCTGGTGGAAATATTCATTGTGACCCGCCAAGTTTCTGATCCGTATAGAAGAACTGACTGACTTGACGTTTGCATTGATAGTCCGAATTTTGTTGTTGAATGTTGCTGAGTGGCAAAGAATTCCAGATTGGTTTCAGGTTGATGAATGTGTTTCTCGCCTTCCCGATTCTCGATTTGACATCCTCGTCCGTTCCTGTCTCCTGTAGTTGAGACAATGCTCCCTAGCTGGATAAGTGAGTGAAGTAACCTCTTTCAAATCCCTCCCGTTGATGGTGATTGGCGCTGGATGTTGCTGCTGCTGTTGTCGTTGTTGTTGGTTGGTTGGTTATTTTCATAACCTCCGTCTTGTCTATGTTCACCTGGAGTCCTGTCTTCTCTGCTTCTTCGACCAGTTTGTCGGTTTTCGCCAATTACCCCAATCTTATTCCCTGATGATCGATTACGTTAGACTGAAATTTTCACGCCCTATTAACATGTCGTCCTCTTCTAGTACGGGTGTAACGACAGAAGGCTAGAGTCAGGCAACAGATCATTCATTAAGGAAATCAACGCATATTTATATATTTTCATGTACATTACTATAGATATTTAAGCAAACAAACACAGTCTTCCGACTGGTTGTTTCTCACGTAAAGTTAATCTTTCATCTATTTGTGACTGTTTCTTGAATGTCAAATCCTCTATATGTTAACTGCATCCGCCTAAGCAAAGTCTGCTGTGGTCGGTTTTGAATCAATCTTTGTTCACATTTTCTCACGACAAATCTTGGGAACGTAAATATTGACGTAAATTACTGTCTACCGATTTGGCTAGTAGACAGCTCTCACCACACAGGTGTTTCAGTGATGCCTTCAATTGGACATGATGTTGCTTTGTTGACTGTGAATAGCAGTGGGATTCGCAATACATACATACACACTTCATTGTATTCGGGACTCGTCAGCTGGATGTACATATATCCTCACTGAGTAATAGGGCCATTCCTAGAGAGGCTCAAAACCAACAGGCACCATTTCAAACACTAAAATGTTTTCAGCTATTAAATGTCTGAGTATTTTCGTATTTCCCGTTGATTGATTATATTGTTTCAACTTTTTATCATTCACGGATTGATATCAGTTAGAGAAGTACTGAGATCCACCAAGAGTACTGGATTGATGTTTCATCCCCCTGGTTTGTGAATTGTCGGTAGTATGCACCCACCAGCGTTCGAGATTAGAACCTTCCGGTTATAAGGAAGTGGCTCAGTGGCTCACGCAGTGAGAACAAATACCCACTGATGACTTTGACTCGTCTTAGTCGCATTAAAATCACGAATAGGTAGAAATTATAATCCATGGGATGACCATTCAATAGAGTTTTAGTGAATGAATGGTCTACGAGCTTGACTGGGGACTGGTTACTTGAACTGTTGCACCTGTATGCCAAGTTCTGCGTTGAAACTCAGTCAGTCAGTCATATCGATCCTTTACCTGCCAAAAAGTGCTACGTAAGCACCAGTCAATGAAATCTACAACCGTTAGTTTAAGTCACGTAAGAAGGTGTAGACTTCCTGGTTGGGGTCGTCGGGACAGTAAAAACCAATGGTTGGAAACAATTGGTGACATGGTTCAAAATTGTTCTCAATGGTTGGTGCAGATGCATCCACTCCTTGTGACTTATGATTTCCAATGAAACTATTTTGTTCTTCGTTATTACTACTCCTTTGTCTCACACCTCTGTTTACTGTCTATATTATGCATTTCTCCTACTTTCTTCTCTTGCTTTGTGTGCTACATGGAGTGTGGCGACTTGAACTGCCGCACATATCGGTGCAAAGTTCTATGTCAAAAACAGACAGACGTAAGCTCGTTAGCTTACACTTAAAGATTGTCACTAACTGTGGGGCCTTATTACAAAGTGTCAGTTAGTAGTTGGTAAAAGTCAGTCAGACAACATAAACCAACGACTGGATTCTATTTTTGATTCCTTTGAGGTTCAGTTGGAGTGATTTTAAATGCATTCACATATCACAATTCTTTATTTGTCCTATAGCATTTGTTAGCTTTTGACTGTTATATTTCCCTATATATCCATCCTTTATTTAACATATGATGGTTTGAAAAACAATGGCAGGTTCTGTTTTGGGAATGTCTATTTAGATTATACGACCTGTGAAGATTTTGTATTAATTTTACTTGTTAGCTTTTCACCCCCCTCCATAATCTGAATATCAATCGCCAGCTCACTGCCGTCGACTGGACAGATTTCCCCTGAAGCTGGAGAACAAGATCGTGACCATTAGAGTGCAACATGTCAAAGCAAAGTTAATGTCTATTAAAGACATGAATAAAGCCAGAGTTATATCATGAGTTCCCAAAGTTAGAATTAAGGGTCCATTGAATTTCAACCCAGCTTGATTTGGGAACCCGAGAGTCCCAGGTTCGATCCCTGATGGATGAGATCGTGGGTAGACACTACTGAAGAGTCCCAGAATGGGACGAAGCAGCCGTCCAGTGTTGCCTGCTTGTGTTTGAATGATCTCTCTAACTGACATTTGTTTGTGATGAACGTATAACAACTGCAATATCTATTTGTAACTATTTTGTAAAGTGAACCTACTTAGTGAAACACACCATGATCTATGTTTGTATAGTATAAAGATAATAACATAGAGAAAACAAAAATCATATTTCACGTAACTCACCGTAACTTACCCAGTGCACACGAGAATTTATCCAAAAAGGCCATCTATATCACAAGTAGCTTATTGAATGCCGATATACACTTATGGATTAGTACACGGTATACGGGATTTCACTGTCTTATATACAGGAAATATATCTGTATGTATAGTAAAAGAGCAAATAATAAAAAAGACGATCAATATTACTACAAAATAAAAAATACGAAACTTTCCAATGTTCAAACTAAAGAGGAAGAGATACGCTGGTTACCGGTCTGATCACTAGTTGACATCAGTTAAAGAATCATTGGAAAACCAGCCAGTGAATACTGGACAGCTGTTTCGTCAGCCTAGTTTAGGACTCATCTTCAATCCCCATCGACCAGTGTTCTAGCTCAGGACATTCCAGTTTGAAGTCAAGCTCGTAGACTATTCAGCCACTGGGACCCAAGATTGACAAGTTACCAGAAGGTCTTGGATTCGAACCCCAGAAGTGGGTGAGTACTACTGAAGAGTCTCTTACTAGTTCGAGTCCCAAAAGCGACACCATCACTCATTGAGATATAATATTGGCTGATTAGTTTCAAACAGGATGAGGTGTACATCCTAGATTCCTTTTTTGTGAACACCATAAATCAAAAGAAGTGTAACAATAGAAGACAAGGGTCAGGCAACAGATCGTTTATTAAGGAAAATCAACACATATTTACAGATTTTAATGTACATTATTGTAGATTATTGTTAGTAGAAAATACAGTCTTTTGATCGGTTGTTTCTCACAGAAAGTTAACCTTGCATCTCTTTGTGGCTGTGTCAGATCATCCATATGCTAACTGTATCCGCCTACGCAAAGCCTTTGTTCTCATCATTTTCTCACCACCAATATTGGGGATATAAACATTGATGTCAATTACTGTCTACCAACTTTGGTTAGCAGCCAGCTCTCACCACAGAAGTACTCAATATAAACCTACTGGATAACAAACACTCTACATCACTCATCCATAACACTCGGAAGAACTCAAAAAGAGAAATTAAGTCATTATGTAATAACTATGAATCTATGCATTCACTGAAAGTGGAAATGTCAACTACTTTTAATTTTGAAAACAAGAGACCATTCATTTTAATTTTTGATATATATTTACTGTAACTATTCCTGTAATAAGCTTGGCAAATGTCTTTTAGAATTACTGTACTTCATAGTCGGTAAACTAACAATGTTATCCAAACGAACATAAAAAGAGTCGAACTGAAGACTGACCTGTAATTTTTAATTGCTTCAAATAGCATGTTCTTGAAATGGAAGGAAAACTGAAACAATTCTCATTTGGTTTCAAGGAAGTTACCGATTTCATAGACAATGCTTTGTTATTGTGAATAGAACTATCAATGGAGTAGCTAGAAGTAACACTAAATCGATTGATTTTTGTATTCGTGACATGTTGAAGGCGATTTGTTCGGACACATTTGGCTTCACTTTGACTTCTCACAAGGGTAGCACTCAAATCTTCCACTGAACTGGACAAACTAGGATTGTCCAGTTGGCTTCGAATTCGGCGACCATGGAGTTGTGATAATGACAATGCTGATGATGATGGTGATGAAGGCAGAGAAATACAGTCTCCTGGAACTGATACATTTGACACCTTCCTACCCACTTCACTGAACACTAAAGAATCTTCTGACGTGGATAAATCCACAGAATCCCATCTGTTGGTTTGATAAACTCGTCTTGATTTCATCCTCGTCGATTTATGTGGTGTATTTGGTGGGACTGATTGTCCATTAGCGCATTCTGATTGTAAGTGTAAATAAGTGTCTGAATGATATGCAGTGTTCAAGTAGAATGGAGGGATGTAAACTTTTCTACAGTCTAACTGTTCCCAGTACCATGTTTGTTTGTATGGAAGCTTTTGATGATTATCATGACACGTGCATTTGCATGTTGGTGCATTATTCTCACGCTGATTTTCTTGATCACTTTCATAAATGCCTGCATTATTCTCATCAACAGATTTCATAAGATTCAAATCGAAATTGTAACGTTGACGAAAGTCTTCTACGCTTTGTTGACATATTTGTTTTAACTTTTGTTGAGCCCTTTTATTGTTATTGACAGAATTATTCAGCTGGTCAACGTTATCATTTTGATAATCATTGCTTAAATTATTTTCCAATGAGCTAAATAAACACCGTACAGGAGGTATCATTAGATTAGCTTGCTTTTCCATTTTGCGATTTAACTGTCTGAGAGAATGATGATGATGATGATGATGATGATGATGATGATGATGATAAGTTTGTCCTCATATCTTTTTCACTCTATAGAAACAAATCAATACATGAAGTCAAAAATTCTGTTGACGATTTATGATTGGCTAATAATATTTTGTAGGGATGAAATATCAAAAGTCCCATGACCAATCAAAATACAATAAGCGGCCAATGGGATAGAATTTACGAAAAAAAATCTAGCGCATATCCATCCAATGAAAAAACTGATTTCCTGGATTTCTGTAAAGTATCAAAGAGCGGGGAAAATATCAGACAAATATCCGTTTTTAAGTTTTCCTATATTCTATTGATAAGAGAAGGGATGGAAGAGAGAGGGAAGGAGATGTGACAGTTTATTTATTTCCAGATTAGATCAAGAACTAACAGTTCAATTAGGAATCAATATGATCTTTTCCATGTCAAAACTTGAAGAATTTTTAAATAATAATAATATTTCATATGAAATGTGATCAAGATTTGATCGAATAGTTCTAAAATAATTGTACGCCAAGTGAGAAACAGACATATGTGAAAACTATACTTGTAAAATCTCAGCGAAACTAATATCAGTGATATCAATGTTTTGTTCGACAAACTGATCCGAACTTCTCTAAGGAAATTTGTTTAAATTTGTCACAGAGGTTGCGTATTTCAATAATCTATATTAATAATAATAATATAGATTATAGGCATTTGTGGGAATTGGGATCATTTCAATATAGTTTTCACCACTCGAGACCACTCAAGGATCAAAGGCTCTGGTTGAGTGTAACACGAATAGACAAAGTCGAAATTCACAAGTCACCAAATTCCGGCTCACGTGGCTAAACAAAATACAAGCTTAGCACATAATGGTCACCAAGAGATGCTGCACATAAAATGTTACATTTTATAAAACAGTTGAGGTACTGCGAAGACTCCCAAACTGAAGCAAGTGGTTGTTGCAAGAGGCTACCACTTGAATTCCGATCCAAAAGGTAGTCAAGCAAATCTTTCACTTCTATGAGGAATTGCCCTGATGCCGCGTTCAAGTGGTGAATACGAAGAATGTGGCATAGGACATGGAAATATGGTCACATGAGAGCATTTCGAGAGGAAGATCAAAATCTACTCACCCTCAGTCGAACCAGATCGTTTACAGGGGCAGATGGATTGACGGAATACTATTTGATAGCTAAAAATCCGAATCGCTAGCTTCTCGGATTATTTGCACTGAGTTCTGCTAGCTGAGGTGTGAAACTGAGGTCAGTCTACAGTCACTACAGTTATTTAGTTAGCAGAAGATTACTCGGTCGTCAACCGTGAAGACTGAAACAGAGTGATGATCTGGTTAACAGTTAGGTTATGTAGCACAATTTGCTAGAGCCTTAGGTCAGTAATGAGAGGTCCGTTGATTTTAGTCTTGTCGCCGTATGCATATTCACTTCGGCCTTAATCATCATAACCCAATGCTCTTAAATTTCCAAAATTCTATAATTTCTACTTGGAATACTACGAAGCAAGTAATGAAAAAAAAACACAAGTATTTTGGTCTGTGTATCGGAGAGATTGTTTGGAGAATACCTACCCAACGATTGAATCACAATATTTTTCCTCATTTCCATGTTTCACCCAACTTTGTAATTCATTATCCGTTCTTCTTCTACACTTTTCATCACTGTTCTTCTGACATTTACATATCATACATGGATTCAAGTCTTATCATTTGTGTTTCTCCCTGTTTAATCTCTAATTTGAATGCTTCTCTTTGTGCTGGTGCTCTGACACATTGATAATGTGTTGTTTTATGATGTGATTTTGTTTGAGTGAAGTCAGGGTCATTCTCACTGTGGACTTGTTGTGGGAAACGTTGGTGTGTGATTCTTGTAGACAGAGATTTTGATACCAGATTGTTGTGAATATTCGACTTGATTCTCAGGTGCTTCTTACAGATGAATTTCTGTGAACCGAATTCTTCAATGCAGTACTTGTTTTTACGAATTGATCACGGATTGATTGATGTCAGTTAGAGAGAACCATTGAAAACCAGTATTGGAGTACTGGACAACTGTTTCATCCTAGTTTGGGAATCATCGGCAGTACGCACCCACAACTGTCCACTACTCCAATACTGGTTTTCAATGGTTCTCTAACTGATAACAATCCGTGATCAACTTGTAAAAATAAATCTAATCCTTACAAACCAACTATTGAACAAAGTACTTATTTTGTTCTTGAAAGTTCTCTTGGCTGCAAAGTTGGCTAACGGTATTTTTTTCCTTCACTTTCCCCAGTGAAACATAGGGCTTCAAGCTAGTGGCTTGAAGTTTCTGTAGCAGTGTTTATTTTACAGGATGGGGTTGCTAGCCTGCCTCATGCCCAACCTTTCCTCTTCACCAGCATTATTCCTGGCTTAGCGAGGTAAAGGAGTGCGTCCAGTGGCCGGCGATCGAACCCAGGACAATGTGCATGGTCTACGAGCATCCTAACCGCTATGCCACCGACGAACGGTATTGTTGAGGTAATTTTGAGTTTTTGATGTTATTATTGTTGAATGGAATCACATAGGCTGTAATCGTGAAATATCGTCTTTTTTCTGCCTTTAGTGTGTTTCGTGACAGCTATACAACCATACAGTAGAACACAGAGACTAGTTCTCTGCGTATAGACCACAACGTATAGGATTTGGTCACCACAGTTCTCAACACATCATCATAATAGCATGCTTGACAGTCGTCCAGTGAACCTGTTGTAAACAGTGAGAATACAGCGACATTGGATGTAACTCCAGGAAGACAGCAATTCTCACTTTTGCATTTTCATGTCATGTCTCTTGTTCGAATTTAGTGAATGATGATGGTAATTAAGTCCAACCTTAGAGTGGTCATAGATGAGTTCAGACAAAAAAGGTGGAAAAGGAATTTCGTCGGTTTCAGGCTAAACAGGAAGCTGAATAGTGCGTTTATACGCCTTGAAAGTGATATCACTGAAAACAGTAACTCTTCGCTGAACATCTTTTCTATTATATGACCCAAAGGAGAATTTTTAAGTTAAATGGTTGGGGTCGCGCTAAATCACGAATTCGTAGAAGTTTGAATTCATGAGCCATTGAATCGGGTTCGGCCACACGGTAAGACATGACACATTGTCCAAAACGATTCTACAAGGCACAGTAGGAGGAGCACGAAAGAGAGGTCGACCGAATAAGAGCTGGCTTGACAACATAAAAGAGTGGACTGAAATGCCCTTGGATACGCTACAGAAAATAGC